AAAAAAAAAAAAAAAAAATGAAACTCAAACAGCTCACCAAACTTGCCAGATGAAGGAAGTAATTTCATGTAAATATTTCATCTAAAAAATGATAAATGTGTTTTGTTCATCAGAAACAATCAGAAAAGCAGAACTGGGGATTAGAATCTGTTCACTGTTTAGGAACTAACTAACTAACTAACTAACTAACTAACTAACTAACTAATCCCAACGGGTTCTCAGGGATAAAATAGGATTATTATTAGTTTTTAAGTGATCTTAGCCAAATGGCTGTCTTGATGGGACCCATGGCTCTAGAAGTCTCCGGCTCTAGCTAGGGCGAGCAAACTAATCAAAGTTTTATGTATGTGGGGTTGTACTCCTTTGTATAAGTTTCTCTTATCACACAAAAAAGTATTTGGAATGAAAACAGTTTAAAAAAAAGATAAAAAAAAAAAAAAACAAAGTTTTTTTCTTTTGAAAAACTTTCACTTTTCAGAGTGTTTTAGCCATTTCCATATCATGACCCCTCACCTCTCATTCCCTTTTCTCTCCCACTGGGACCTCTCTTCCCAACAACCCCCACCCCCACCCCACACCTGCTTTCATAACTTCTTTTGGTCTTGATTGAGCATGGCCTGGAGGTCATCTACTGCAGCAAGAACAGCCACTTGTTGGAGGCTCTTTTTTCTGGTGTTCATTTTGGACTCTTTGTCCAAACTACAGTGGTTGTAGATGTACGGACTTATAGCTAGATCTTTATTCCATTCCAGTGATTAATATGTCTGTTGTACCAGGACCACACTGTTTTTATCATTATGGTCCTATAGTATATATAACTTGGAATTAGGTATTATGATTCCTCCAGAGGTATTCTTTCTTATTGTTCACAATTGTTTTGCTTACTAGAGAAGTCTTTCTTGCTTCTAGACATATTTTAAGACTGTTTCTATTGTACCATGAAGAATTCAGTTGGCTTTTTGATTAGGGTTCCATTAAATTTGGAGACTGCTTTTGTTAGAGGATGGCCAATTTCACAATATCAGTCCTATCCACCCATAAGCATAAGAGGACATTCCAACTTGTACTGTCATCTTCTATTTCTTCAGTATTTTAAAGTTTTCATTGTGAGTTCTTTTGGTGCTTTGGCTAAGTTTATTCCAAGTTTTTGTGGGTTTATTTTGTTGTTGTTGCGAATGGGATTGTGAAGAAACAGCCTGCCTCTATCTTAGTCTTTTTTCTTTTTCTTCTTTTCTTTTATAATTAATTTAATTTTACATATTAGCTACGGATTCCCCTGTCCTTCCCCCCAGCCTTCCCCCCTCCCCCCAATCCACCACCCATTCCCACCTTCTCCAGGGCAAGGTCTCCCCCTGGGGATTCAGCCCAGCCTGGTAGATTCAGTTGAGGCAGGTCCAGTCCTCAGCAAAGTGTCTCAGCATAGGCCCTAGGTTCCAAAAAGCCAGCTCATGCACCAAGGACAGGTCCTGGTCCCACTGCCTGGGGGCCTCCTAAATAGTTCAAGATCATCAATTGTCTCACTTATCCAGAGGGCCTAGTCCAGTTCCATAGGGGCTCGTCAGCTATTGGTTCATGTGTTTCTGCTAGTTTGGTTATTTGTTCCTGTGTTTTTTCCAATCATGGTCTCAATATCTCTTGCTCATATAATCCCTCCTATCTCTTGCCAGTTGGACTCCTGGAGCTCCACCTGGGGTTTGGCCATGAATCTCTGCATTTGCTTCCATCAGTCACTGGATGAGAGTTCTATCATGACAGTTAGGGTTTATTTTCTATAGTTTAAGGATTATGTAATACTTCATTTTAACCCTTTATTTGTAAACTAGAATATAATAATTGTTTGAAGACTAATTTTTAATTGTTTTCTTTTAGGTAAGTCCTCAGTTTACCTAAAAGCATAAATGGGTTCTGTATTAAACTGAAATACTTAAATGATATGTATATCAGACTAAAAAACACTTAACTTTTAAAGATTTTTTTTTCAAATTTGTGTCACCCTGCGGTAAGACAAACGAACATTTGTCCTAGTTTTGGACTTTTACACTTAGTGAAAAGAGTCAGAACAAATAAACTAATCCATTCTGAAACATATAACTTCAAACCTTTTTAATTGTAAATTTTTTCTTGAGAATGTCATACCTGTATAAAATGAAATATGCCCATTCTATCCAACCTCTGCCAAGTCTATCGAACAGGACCGACTAACTAGGATGAATGTACTGGCACAGTGCTGGCACAGCTGTTCGTGAGTAACCAACAACTTTTTAACTGGATTTGAGGCTTGCTCCATTGGAGATAATTTCCTGCCTAGTACTGTCATCTTAGTCAAAAGCCTAAGGCAGGGGAGGTCATGGGCCCTAGGGCAGAACCTACTATGACTTTCCTAATTGATGATGCTGTCAAATTGCCTACTAAATATGTATGTTTACATATATACTCCTCTATACATCTAACACTTTGTCTTGGTTTTTCATCTCCCTCATGTTTTAGGCAGGGACCTGCCTGTCTGGGGTTGTGTTGTTGGTTAAGGTTTTTGTTTCTATAGTATTTTAATTCAGGTCACTTTTCTACTTTTAATGAAGACATTTGCATTTTTCAGGAAAGACTAGTTTTAATTGGATTGAGACAACATTTGTCCTGTTTAGACTGATGTCCAGGTCACTAGACTCTGTACCCAGACCTCCACAGTCAGATGAGAACTATCTACAACTACAGATGTTGTCAATGGTAAACACTCTATGAAAGGAGAGTATCAATTTACTATGTCACAGCTAGTCCTTAAGGAACAATTGTTTGGGGGAGTAAAGGGACACCAGCAGTACTATGTATAGTAGCATATTAGTAATTATGGGTATGAGTAGAGAAATAAAGAGAATGAGAAAAACATCACAGTGGGGTTAGTGGTCAGCATTGGGTTGGTAGATAGGAAGTAGGGGAGTAGAAACATGCATAAAAAGAGGAATGGTAGAAACAAGGGCAAAAAGGTGGGGGCAGGATATGGGAGTTTTGCTAAAGACACTGGAAAGAGAGGGGGAAAGATGTGCACTGAAATAACATCATCTCTCAGGAGGTTGAGTGGCAGAGACTCTAGAAACTAGGGCCACCTGTGTTTGACAGAGGAAAAAGGAAGATGATAGGGTGTGGTGTGGGGAAGAGTTGAGAAGAGTGAGGGACCAAGGTGGCCTGCTACAATGACTTTAGATATTACATAAATAAGGAAAAACTGTAGCCTGTAGGGGGAAACATGAGCTGGGTGAAGACTTGGGACTGGGGCATATTGTCAGTTGACTTCCTGACCTCACAGGGTGACCTGGATAGAGGCCAGAGTCTCACTGTAATCTCAAACATCAAGTAGCAAGTGGGAGTCGGGACTGAAGCATGAGTGTGTGCCCTGTCCTCAAATGGTGAACCAGAGCTGGGGTAAAAGTATGAGTATCAACGTTGTGTGTGTGTGTGTGTGTGTGTGTGTGTGTGTGTGTGTGTGTGTGCACTTATGTATCTTTAAAGCTGTATTAACTCCAATCATAGTTCTAGATGCCATGGGAGCATGCTGAAAGCTGACAGCATGGGAGCAGAAAGTTAATGAATTCCTGCAGAAAGATGAAGGCTATACAATTACAGACCTGTGGATTGATTTTTCTCTGTTAAGCAAAGTTATTTGACCACCATTATGAAACCAGTTAGCTACAAGTAAGAGTTGATCTCTGGGGCAGGTCAGTTATTGTAGACTGCATGTTAAGCTGCCTTAAAAAGAAACACAGCAGTCAAAAGGCTTTTATTACAAAGTTCTTCCTCTTGAGGCATCCTGCAGCAATGCCCCCTTTGGCGCCTATAAAACATTAATGAACCTTGCAGACAAAAGTGCTCCCCTGCCCACACGTGTATCTATCACCTAAGACAGGCATCTTGCTGCTTTCCAATCAATAACATGGATGGAAAACCTGGGTGTGGTGGTACTTGTCTGTAATCCCAATGTTGGAGACTAAGGCAGGAGGTTTGAGATCATGCTTCATAGTAAGAGCATGATAGAAGATGAAAGAAAAAAGAAGGGGAAGGAGCAGGAAAAGGAGAGGAAGGAGAAAGAAGAGGAGAAGGAGGAGGAAGAGGAGAAATAAAACTCACAAAATAGTTGTGCCATCATTGCAAGTAACTCTAGCTCCATTACTCAGTGGAGCAATTCCGTTTTTTGGCTTGTGGGGATGAAGACTGGATGTTTTCTCTGCTCAATGAGGTTGGAATTCTGCATTGTTTTAGTGATGGAGCACTGGTAGCTCCCACTTTCAGTCAGAACAGGAATATTTTCATAGTCACTGCATAGAGAATCTTAGACAACTCAATCAGTCAGCAAGTGAGACAGATTTGGGGGGTGAGACACTGGACCCTCTAAACAGGTGAGATGCTGTAATAATTGCCAGATCATGGCAATGTCATCAGCTGGTCTTTTACCACCTTCCAGGTTAGTGTGGTTTACAGGAAGACTCAGTGAAAACATTGGTACCATAACAGATGTGATTTCTGCTGGTTGGAAGGCCAGGACCACTCCATGGCTTTGTTTCCTTTCTTCTCTGCTGCTTGTCTCTTCTTCCCTGAATGTTCTCAAGATTTCCAGAGTTATTTGCTTCCTATTTGATTCAAAAATCTTTCAGGATCTACTGTCTTTATTTTATTTTGGAGACAGGGTCTCACTGTGTCGCCTTGGTTGGCCTGGAACTTACTATGTCCAGGCTGGTCTTGAATTCACAGAGATCTGCTTATGCTGCCTCTGAGTGCTGGAATGAAAGGCGTGTACCACCTTGCCTAGCCCAGAATCTACTCTCTTTCATGTCAGATAGGGTAAAAAAAAAAAAAAAAAAAAAAGAGAGGGAAGAGGCATAGAGGGATGGGTTATAAGATTTTTTGCTCTGAATTAAAACTTCAGACTGGGGAATATGGAGACTTGGTTTAATTCCTACCTTGGCCAAATCCAGCTATGTAATTTTAGCCAAATGGTTTTTTTTTAAAGTCTGTCAAGCTTTATATTTAAGGGGGCAGCAAAAGGAAATGTTCTGCAAAGTTCAAAGAGCAGTATAAATGTCAAATGTCACAGAACTACTGTATAGCTAAAATGATACTATAGACTTGTGGTTTTAGATGAATTAATAGACATTAAAAGAACATGGAGCCTTTGATTAAGCATACCCCAGTTATAGCAATCTAGGTAAGGAAATCCAGCTTCAAACCTCAAGTCTATATTCAATCAAGCATCTGCTCCTATCAACTCTACCTCTGAAATGCTCCTCTGCTCCATCTAGCCCTTCCTGCTGTCACTATTCATGCAGGCCCTCTCTCAACGCGGCTCCTTTTTAGTATGTTACTTTCCTTGCTTATAGGTCGTACTTTTCCAAAAACATTCATCTAGTCTTGTGTCTCCTCTGTTGGAATTCTTTACTGAATCCCTATTAACTCCAGCATCAAGCCCTTGTTTGTTGCTGGAGGGCTTCTCTCCAGGCTCCACCAAGCCCCGCAGTCCCACAATCCACGTATAAAATAATCACTCAGACGCTTATATTATTTATAAACTGTATGGCCGTGGCAGGCTTCTTGCTAACTGTTCTTTTATCTTAAATTAACCCATTTTTATAAATCTATACCTTGCCACATGGCTGGTGGCTTACCGGCGTCTTTACATGCTGCTTGTCCTGGTGGTGGCTGTAGTGTCTCTCCGCCTCAGCCTTCCACTTCCCAGAAATTTCCTCTCCTTGTCCCACCTACTTCCTGCCTGGCCATTGGCCAATCAGTGTTTTATTTATTGACCAATCAGAGCAATTTGACATACAGACCATCCCACAGCACTTCCCCTTTTCTTTTTTTTAAAAAGGAAGGTTTTAACTTTTATACATCTCCAAAGCCAGCTTGGTATATTTGGGAATTTGGGCAAACAGGGAGAAGGAAGGAGACACACTGCCAGCTGCCGCCATGACCAACAGCATGTGAAGACACCAGTAAGCCACCAGCCACGTGGCAAGGTATAGATTTATAAAAATGGGTTAATTTAAGATGTAAGAACAGTTAACAAGAAGCCTGCCACGGCCATACAGTTTGTAAACAATATAAGTCTCTGTGTTTACTTGGTTGGGTCTGAGCAGCTGTGGGACTGGCGGGTGACAAAGATTTGTCCTGACTGTGGGCAAGGCAGGAAAACTCTAGCTACACTTGTTCTCAGTGAAGAACACAGCTCCCTTACAAACTTGATATACAGAGATGCTGGCATCTGCTCTTAGCATCTTCTTGGGAAACGGGATGATGCTAAACTGACAGCTCTTTCTCCTTTGTCTAGCCACTCCTTTCATTCTTCTAATACATGCTCAGACACTGCTGCCTCTGGGGGTCCTTCTGAATTTCCCAGCTGGAGTTAGACAGCACCTTATGATTCCCACAGTATCCCCAACAGCATGTATCACAGCACCTTGGGGTGGTTTGGATCCTTCTTTGGCTGAAGGCTCCACTAATATAACTTAGCCTAGCTTCTCTGGCAGTTTGCTTGCAATAAACACTGAAGAGACATTTCTGATTGTGCATAGCATTTCACAGGAAAGTTTGAAATCCAATCATTTACCTTTCACAGGTAGTTACTTTTATATATATAACTAGAGATGCTTAACAGTAATCAGTGAGTGAATTGTTAAGAGTTATTGATTTGTCACTCAAATTAGTGTCTTACTAGTGTTTATTGAGGACTTTAATTTGGCATTGTAATGGAAGGTTAGGTGCCTTATGGCATTTGGCTACACTGCCAAATGTTTTATTTTTAGTATTGAAAGTTTTTATTTTACTAGTATTATTCCTGGAACTCAAAACACTTACTAATTATCCAGATGGCCAAAATCAACTTCAGGTGACATTATACACCTATTTTGGAAGGGATTTTTTTTTTTCAGAACCAAAGTCTCTTGGATAGGTTGGGATTCTTAGAAAGGCAGACTGTCAGGCAAGACTGTTATTTGGATTTATAGTTTCCAGTAACTGTATCAAACACTTGATTTCTCTCTGAAGACTGGACTGATTAATAAATAAAACAGAGCCTGAGGGATCTCAGCAATGAAAGTCCACTTTGCATATGATTTATTACTGTTTTCGTAACATCTGTTTTTGCCAGTGAGGCTGCTCTCTCAAGTGTCTGTTTTTTCTTTAATGTATTTCTTCAGAGAATAAAAAGAAAGACAAAAAGCATCTAAACATGAACAACAGCTTTGTTCAGTTCACAATATACAGAGAAGAGGGCACACTCAGGGTGTGTGGTGCCACTATAACCCAGCTGACTACTCACTTCCCTATAGATGGTGTTATGTGACTTCCAAGCATCTATGCAGGACAGAATTTGGGACACCATGGGTAGTACAATTCCAAGATATCTATAAACCCAAGAGGCAAATGTAGCTCATTTACAAGCATCATTTTCTTAGGAGAAACAAAGGTGAACATACGATCTCTTATTCTGTAAATAAGTGATAGGCCACAATGTAGGGCTCAAATGATCACATCTGCATGGATGAAAGCACACTAATAATCTCATCAACACTGTGCTTCCAAACTAGAGGTTCAGAAGGGATGCTACAGTGTGTTGGAAGGTTCTTTACCTCCTGGATTTGGGATTTGAGACTGCCAATGAAAGTCTTTTGTTAGATGGATTATTATTGCCTTATTTTTCACTATGGTCCCATGGTTGTCTAAGGAAAGTAAATGGAAAAGAAGAAAATCAGAGACAAAGAACTTGAGAAAATTACTTCTTAGGAGAGAACATTCATATTGATTTGGTCTATGTTTTAAACAATGCTTTGATTAATTAAAGCTTCCTCGTCCATATTTTTCTCCTGGTCTCCTAAATCTGTAAGTCATGTTTTTTACATAAGATGCATCTCAAGTGTCAATATGTTCAGTGGCAAGAAACAAATGCGTGTAATCTCAGGAAACATGGTGTTATGGTTTGGGTATGAAGTCTGCCCTAATGTTCATATGTTGAAGACTTGATGACCAGCTGGTGGATCTCGTCACTGAGAAGCAGTTATATCATGACAGCTTTGACCTAATCAATGGACTATTCATACCAACGAACTCTCGCATACCACATGAATCCCTTGATTGGCTTTTTAAGATCAATCACTTACCTTTCACAGGTAGTTGTTTTCCATGTAACTAAAAGATGCTGACTAATAACCAGTGAATGAATTATTAAGGGTTATTAGTTTGTCGTTCAAATTAGTGTCTTTCTAGTGTTTAATGAGGATTTTAATTTGGCATTGTAATGGAAGGATAGGTGCCATATGGCATTTGGCTACATTGCCAAATGCTTTTATTGTTAGTATTTTTAATTTTATTATTATTATTCTCAGAACTCAAAACACTTACCAATTAGTCAGATGGATAAGATCAATTTCAGGGAACATTATACTCCTGTTCTGAAAACTATTTTTCAGGTACCAAAGGCTTCTGTGATGATATTATCGGAATATGGTAAAAGCTTTCATAGTGGGGCCGGCCCTATTGGAGGAAGTTGGTCACTGCAGTGGGTGAGTGTGGTTTGGGGGATTATGCTTCACCTCTGCTCCTTTTCTGTCTCTCACCTCCTGTCTCCCATGAGGTGAGACCCTTGGTTGTATCACGTGCTCCCATCTGACATGATTTTCTGCTTTATCTTATACAAGTCCAGAATCAACTGAGTTGAGTCATCATGGACAAAACCTCTCAAACTGTCAGTCAAAGTGATGCTGCTCCCCCAAGTTGTTCAGATGTTTTGTTACAAAGATGAGAATCTGACTGACACACATAGGTTGGACATGCACATCAGCTTGAATTGTATTCTTGGTCCATAGTTAAACTCTAGATAGCTGATAAGAATAAAACAACGAATGGATTAATAATTAAATGTGGGGCTCAGCATTAAAACCTGGAGGTTTTAAGCAATATTTTGATTGATTCAATTAGCACTCAGTAATTTATCAAGTACTTTATTCAAATGAGGTTATTTTTCTATGTTTTTGGTATAAATGATTAGCAAAGTCACAAAAATCTCTGCGCTTATGGAGTTTATAGCATAGTGGCTAAAGTCAGTGCTCATGAGCCCTGATCATAAACCATTCATGAATATCAATTTAGAAAATGACTGTGTTGTGGGCGGCATACTAAAGACTGAACTAGGGTTTCTGCACCCTAACAAGCACTCTACCATTAAGATGCATTCCCACCTCTTTTTCTTTTTGCTCTAGAGACAGGAACCCACTAAAGTACATAGATTGGGCTTGAATTTGCAATCCTTCTGCTTCAGCCTCCCAAGCAATGGGGATTACAAGTTTGCAACACCACGTTTATCTGAGTGGCTTTTAATGCAGTCTTGCTTCTCTTGGTCTCTGGGGCCAATCAGCCAGAGTTTTTCTTTAGCTGTGTCCCCTAATGTTTTCAGAGCATCACTTTCTCCATTAGTAAGGCCTGATTACAAAATTTGTCCTGTCTGCACCACAAGGCTGTGAAGAATAGGTCCAGCTAGATGCAGCCTGTGTGATGTGAATCCCAAGTTTATTCAGTTTGCATGTGACATAAATGTCTTCTGAAGAAGCTGCCAGTTTTTATATTTGTAGTTACAGAAAAATGGCTATAACACAGGATAGCTCTATCTATCTATCTATCTATCTATCTATCTATCTATCTATCTATCTATCTATCATCTATCCACCTATCTACTTATTTAGACAGGATCTCTCAAAATAGCCCTGGCTGGCCCTGAATTTACCAAGATCCCCCTGCCTCCTGGTTGCTAGGATTAAAGGTGTGCACCACTACATCCAGTTTAGCTCTTTTGTTTTTGAGCAAACCCATAGATGAGGAAATTCTCTGCTGTAACTTCATTGTCCTAGTAATTTTTTTCTGTATTCTAGTGATGAACACTTAATAGGTCTCTAGAATGGTTAGTCAAGTGGTTCTTGGGTTGTTTTTCTGGATTTATCATTCTCAAACTCTTCCAGTTATTCAGCTGGTGGTACTGTCCTAAAGGTGCCATAGTGTCGGTCATCATTATCTTTCTTCTCCATCTTGCCCAAAGCTCCTCTCCTTTTCTTATTTTTTCTCTTCTTATCTTTTTTTCTTGAGATAGGTCCTCATTGTGTTGTTCAGGGTGTTCTTACATGTAATCCTCCTGATTAGTCTCCTGGGTGCAGGGATTACAAAGTGCCACAGTGCCTGGACTACCTTCCTTTTCTTCTTTCCTTCCATGTCTGTCCTCCTTGCTGTCCTCTCTTTGTCCTTTGATAATATTCAAGGCCCTGACCAAGAAACTGGGGGAACTGAGAGGGTGATATTGGGTGGCTTGGGAAAAACAGGTCATGATGATGGCAATTCCCTTTCTCCTAATTCTTCTTGAGTAAAGAAATTCTAGATCAAGTTCAGATGTCAAAGATCTATGTTTTTCAGGAGTTTTAAGAGCACCACCACAAATGATATAATACTGGCCTTTAATGTTTTGCAGCTACCATTACTGTGTTTAACTGAACCCACATTAGAAACTGTTTACTATCCACAGTGGTATTATTTTCTAAGTTAGACAGCCTGCAGATGAAAGGAAGTCAGCACACAGCCAGGAGTCTTTTCCTAAATGCTACATTTAAAAGAAAACAGGATTCTAACTAGAGGCTGTTTCCTAGAGATACACACCAGTCACACATGAATTCTGGCATTAAAAAGTGATTTTTTAAGGGGTTGGAAAGATGGTTCAGCAGTTAAGGGCACTAGCTGCTCTTCCAGAGGACCTGGGTTCAATTCTGAGCACCCATATGGCAGCTCACAACTGTTTGTAACTCCAGTTCCAGGAGATCTGACACCTTCACACCAATGCACATAAAATAAAGTTTTTTGTTTT